CTTTCGCCATGGGGATTCGCTCGAGAGGCCGCTTCAGTCGCAGCCCTACGCACAACAACCACAACATGGGCATTATCGGAGTGTACCCGGCACGGCGCTTCGGCCGGTTCACCAACGCGGCTGCGGTGGGCGTCTTTTTCCTGTTCCTGTGGGTTTTCCGCGAACAGCTGCGCCTCGACCGCGTTGGCATGGATTCAAGCATCGTGCCGTGGATCCCGCGCCTGTCGCACCAGGACATCTTCGACTTTGAGCCGGTCAATTCGGAGGTTATTCGGGCGGTATGCGACAAGACGGAGTGGGATGCGGGGAAGGCGATGCAGGTCGTGTTCACATGCGACAACAACGTCGGCGGGATCGGGAACATCCGCAACTCGATCCTGAACTGCGTGCGATACACGATGCTGGCCGGCGGCTCGTTGGTCATGCCGCGCATCTTCAAGCGCAACGACTCCGACATCTCCCACATCCGGACGGGGCGGCGGCAGGAGATGGAGTACCTCTTCGACAGGCAGCATTTCATCGACTCGCTGCACCTCTCGTGCCCACAGCTACGGCTCTACAACGACACCGACGAGGTGTACGAATCCCTCGGGCCGGCGCGCACATGGTCCCTCGGCCTCTTCCCGGAATCCCTCGTCGACGAGGACAACATCCCCAGCACGGGTATCGAGCATCCGGAAAGGTGGCAGTCGCAGCTGCATCGGTGGCTCGACGACATCGACAACACCACGGATGTGGCGCCGACCGGGCGCCCCACCGAGGGTCCGATGATGGTAGACCTGGGCCGGTCGTACCTCACGTTCCCGATCAACAGCGACGGCGAGGTGTTCGCGACGACGTTCGGCAACATCCTCAAGTTCCGCGCGGACGTGCGGCAGCTCGCGAGCGCGACCATCCTCAGCATCGACCGGCACTTCTTCGGCGCGCACCTGCGCACCGAGAAGGACGCACTCGACAGCTGGAACCCGACGGACCCGACGTGGGAGTGGTCCGAGTACAGCAAGCAGACGGACGCCTTCTTCGACCAGGCGGGCCGGTGGGAACTGTCGGTCATGTACGTGGCGTCCGGGAACGAGACGCAGGTGGACATGCTCGAGGCGGACGCGGAGCCGCGCGGGGTGCGGGTCGTGACGAAGCAGGACCTGCTGACGGGGAAGAACCGCAAGAGGCTAGACGCGCTGACGTGGGATCAGAAGGGCATGATCGACTTCCTGGTCATGTTGGGGGCGGCGCAGTTTGGAGGCGTGGGGCACTCGAGTTTTGCGTGGAACGTGGCGCTGAAGAGGCACATTTTCTCCGAGGAGAAGGAAGGGTTCCTGAAGGGGCCGCAGATGTTGAGCGATGAGCTGAGTCAGATTTATGGGACGCCGGGGAAGTATCCCGAGTATGCGTCGTGTCTGTGGCCATAGTCTCGTTGCAGGTAGTCGAAAGAAAGTCGGTTTCACGATCATGCTCCAGGGAAGGTGAAGGCGTACAGTCAGTGCACTGTGATCTGACTGTGTAAGACGAAGCCGATAACGTTATTGGCTGATTAATCAAGCCTCTCAGTCACCACTGGAGACCCAAATCCTTCCCTCACCACAACGCTTGCTTTATCCTGATAACGTTGAGGTCTTTTATCTGTCTTAGACCTCGGTTCTTTGACTTCGCCAGTTATTGAGACAGCGAGGAAGCCGACATGAGTCCATCCGATACCAACGTAATACCCCACCAAGTTCAAAATCATCATCTGGCTGGATTACTAATTCATCAACAAGAAGACCAGACGTGAGCGCGGTGTTCTCGCCCAGCGCGAATACCGGAAGCGTCATGCGTCCAAAGTTCAGAAGCTTCAGGATGAAAACAAAAAGCTGAAAGATGTTATTGGGAACATCGATAAGATTCTTCGACGGCAGGGAGTCCTATCGGATGACCTCAAAGCCGCCATGTCGGAAGCCCGAGAGATTGCGGGCATCACAACGGAAGATGACTCGGAGACTTCTCCGGAACAAGGCGCTCCGCACATTATGCAGTCCATAGAGCAAAGTCCGCCACCGGACCCCGCTCTTGAGGAAGTTATCCGAACCGACCCCCGGCTGGCATCCTCTCTCGTCCCTGACGGGCGCGTCAGTCCTCGTCTAGACTATGGCCTTTGGCTCGACCCGGACCGATTGGTTCGGATCCTCGATCCGCCCGCGGACATTATCCCGTACTTGGGGAGCCGTATGAATACCCTCGCAGGTTGCATCTTCTGGGCGACTATGAACTACACCATCGACCTGTGGAACTCCCGCTCGGAACCTCTATCAACAAAACACCTGGACCGCATGTTCAACCACTCCGAACATCTTAGAGATCGTCAGTTCCTCCTATCTCTGGCACAAGCGAGGGTCGACTACAAGGAGAAGGGCTTCATGTACCGCACACTCTCCGAACAATTTGAGCGCAACGCCATGGGCGGTCTGTTCAAGCGCATCAAGGAGGACTACGAGAAGCAAGGGCAGCCGAGTAAATGGTGGAAACGCCCCGAAGAGGTCGCAAACTGTGTTCTTGACGTGATGGATGAGAGCCAAAAGGAAAGGTTCCAAGCTGTCATTGATGGGAAGGGGACAAAGGAGGATGCGGGAATGTTGCGGGCTCTCATCACTTGGTTGGCGCAGAACTACATTTGCTTCGGCGATGGGCCACGATGGAGCTCGGTATTTGCTTCGGTGGGCATCGGGAGCTGGGTGAATGAGTTTAAACGGCGAGAGGCTCTGACCGCCTGAGAAGTGTGATATAATTTTTTATGAAATGTTCTTCAAAGCTAGTTTTCACAGTTCCATGCGCCAGGCCCTCTCCATGATGTCTTGATTCGCCTCCGCATATTGCTTGGTTTCCCACACGGTCCTCCGTTTCTTCGCCTCAGACATGACCTTGTACCTCTTCGTCCGATTATTCTGGCAAACTAGCAGTTGGTCCTGCTTCTCAACTTTGAGCCCACCACCGATGTCCTCAATGACACTGCCGTCGCCTTCGATTACCTCGCAGGCGACAAAAGCCCGGCGATCATCCAACCAATCCTCGCCGATAAGCATGGCTCCATCCCAGCCCCTCTCCCAGCTTCCGGCGTAGAAATTCACCTTCTTTAACTTCCCGCCGCCATTCTTCTTCACCAAGAGCTCGAACGGCCAGCCGGCGCTGTAGATCCCCAGCGTCGGCTCCGCATTGGACCGCGTACCCTTGCTGCAGTCAGACTGATCCTCCATCACCATCATCTCATGCAGCCTTCTCAGCCCGGACTTTTCAATATCGAGTTGTCGACGACACTCGCTCGCCATCTCGAAAAAGATTGTCGCGTTTTCGAGGTTGGGAAACTCGGTGGCGATGGCTTCGAGGTGGTCCACGGGCCATGTTCCGTTCTGGTTGATGTCGATGGTGAGGGATTTGAGATTGGGAAGCATGCCGCCCAGGGCGGTCAGCTGGGCGGGACTCATCACCTTTCGCTGTCGGTATGTGCTCTCAGGCTCGTGCCAGTCGAGACTTGTCAGAGAGTCTGCGTGGTGGCGGAGGAGTGGTTCGACAGACGCCCCCGTTTGGCCGCTGTTTTTCCAGGAGAGGTGTTTGAGGGAGTTTTCCGGGAGGGCAGCGATGAGTTCCTTAGCCCAAGAGCCATACGTCGAGAAGGAATTCAGAGATTTGAGGTGCGGGACGAGAGTCGTGACATTCGGTGTCTGGCCGTCTCTGATTGCGAGATGCCTGATTTGGGAGAAGTCCATTGCCTCAAGCCAAAGGTCAAGGTTCGTCATGTTCTTTTGCGCCTGAGACATCGGCAAGCCCTTCAACCATGCCCACGCCTTTCCTTCATAGACCCAGTCTGCATACCGTTCGAACGTATTGCCCCATCTGTGTAGAGTTCGTACCTCATCCCATGGCCTGTCATTGAAAGCATAACCCTCCAAATCCAGGGACTCGAGTGTCGAAGGGTAGCGTGAGCCCGAGGGGTGATTGAAAGGGAAATTGTATCGGTCAGGATGCTCAGAACATCCAAGACTCGTGACGCGGAGTTTCAGACTCTTGATTGATGAGCACTTGGTGAGGGCGTTGTGGACTTCGCTCATGGAGTCGAGGAAGGGGTCGCCGGGTTCGCGTTTACCGTACCAATCTGTCTGGCCTGAGGGGACGACAGTGTCGATGTATGTGGGACATTTGAAGGGAGGTCGCTCGGTTGATGATGCAGCGGCTGATGCGGCTAGGAAGAAGACGGCGAAGATAAGTAATCTGCGAAAAGTCGAGTGCATGCTTGCGACGTCTGTGTTCTCCCCAAGCCCAATTTGGTGTAACGAATGTAGCAGACTGCGAAGCGCACATTCTAGGATAGCAGCATATACGTAGCGATGACAAGATGACACCGTTTCCTACCACCCTTATGCCAGATGGTGGGCTGCAAGTAAGAGACTCAATATTGATGGGTTGATTGAGCGAGCGGACGCAACCCCTGCACCTCTCTAGGCAACCACACCGCACCTTGATGTTTGGAACCAACAGGATTAATTAGCCTTGGCATTTATGTCTGCACAGACAAAGGACACCATTGCGTTGAAGGAAGCGCTGTTCTTCGGTGTGAGATCCTTCGGACTCGGTGAGTTCGGTGAGTGTCGGTGGGGCATGCCCACCTAGTGTATCTCGGTGAGGCACAATTGCAGACAGCCAGACCCCAATGAATCGCCGGCCATGCGGGAAACTGGCGACCCGGAACTTTCATGTATCGGTCAAATGCTTATTCTCCTTCTTCTAAGTTCACGGGACTGAGTAATCAGGCGTTTTACCAGCAGACGGTTCAACGCTTGTCAAGTTTCGCTCATTTAACCTTATTTGAGAGTCTAATTTTAGCAATGTAACTCTGTCTTCCCACGCTGACCGGCGAATCCGGGAACATCGTACGCTGAACTTCAACTTCCCAACCTGCCTAAGCTCCTTTCACGGAGTAAAACTCACAATAATTAACATCGAAAAAGCGGTCGAGACGCAAGCTGTGAAACATGAAGGTTCTCATCGCGACGATGCCCTTCGCGGGACACATCCATCCCATGCAGCCAATCGCTCTCGCCCTGATCCGCCGCGGACACACCGTGGCTTGGCTCACATCTGCATCTCACGAATACCTCGTCCGCCCGACCGGCGCAACCTTCATCCCCTCTCCTCCAGCTCTCGCTCGCCATGACGAACGTGTATTGGTGCCCGATGCGGGAACGTCGGGCCTCGCAGCTGTGGTGTCGACTCTGCGAAAGCTCTTTCTCGATCGCATTCCGGATCAAGTTGCTGCCTACCGGGAGGTTTTATCGACCTTCCCGGCAGATGTCATCTTGGTTGATCTCACGGCATACGGCACGCACGGCTTCCGCGAACTTACCGGGACTCCATACGCGACGTTGGGGATCAACCCGCTTGTCACGTTTGACCCAGAGGTCCCGCCCTGGGGCACCGGGTGGCAACCACCTTCAACGATCTTCGGGCGGTGGGTGAATTCGGTAGCTCACAAAGTAGCAACTTGGCTATTGTATCCCAAGCTCACGGCAATCTTGAACACCCATCGGGCGGAACTTGGTCTTCCTCCCCTTCCGCCGACGGGATTCTATGACACGACAAGGTCTGATGTCCTGCACATTATGCCAACAACGCCTGCCTTCGAGTTCCCTCGCGACTTTCATCCATCCATCAAATGGGTCGGACCACTACTTCCCCTATTCAACGAAGAATCATTCACTTCGCCGCCGATCTGGTGGAATGAGATGCTGGCTCATCCGAGAGAGAAGGTTGTCCATGTCACGCAAGGGACCTGGGCAACTACCGCAACGAACCTCATCCTCCCAACGCTCGCGGCGCTACGAGACCGTTCGGATCTGCTAGTCATCGCTACCACGCCCGACGCGGAAAAGACCTTGCCGGTGTCGTCGTTACCGAGGAACGCGCGGGTGGCATCATTCATCCCACACGCAAAACTTCTGCCACATGTTGGCGTGATGGTCACAAACGCAGGCTACAACGGCGTGCTAGTAGCCTTGACTTGTGCAGTCCCGTTAGTCTGCGCCGGCCGGACTGAGGATAAGGCCGATGTCAGTTCTCGGGTTGCGTGGAGCGGGGCTGGGATAGATCTAGGTACAGATACGCCGAGCATGAAAGCTATCAGGGATGCGGTGGCCAAGGTCATTCGAGATGAGAGATACCGCAAGGCCGCTGAGATAATTCGGGCTGATTTCGAAAAGCATGATGGTCCGAAGCAGGCCGTTGACGCTCTGGAAGAAATTGTTGAGCGCTGTCAAAAATAAGTACTACGACACAATCTTGCCGCAACCTTGAATCACAGTAACCCCAGAAGGAGCATACGAATGTTCTTCGGCCGGTGCAGGCTTCCTTGAACTAGGTACACACGCACTTGGATTTAAATGCAACGTTTCACTTGTGGACCAAAAGAATAATTCACTGGCGAGGTTGCAGTCAGTTTCCGAGAAATCTGTCTTACCGGTGATGAGGCCTTGGCTGCGCCCAGCCTGCTTCCGTATTTGAATATCCATGCATATATGTAGGCTGACTCTGTGAGCAACCAATACATCAATTTCCTAGAATAGAACATCGGGCCGAGAATCCAGCCTTTGCCCTTGCCACTTCCTGTAGCCTGCATATGCGCTGACCTTTCACGCGATGTCAAGTTGCATCGAAGAATCAGGCGACCAATAACACCACGAGACACTTATACTGCTTCCCGAACGGGACGAACATTGGGCAAGGATCTGGGAGCCTGATTTCTATCTCCCTCTTGACAGTAATCAATTTAGACTGTCAAAACTTCCAACTTTTTTTGTTGATTACCTTGGCGAGACATTAGTTTCTTGCTCATTTTCATTTGAAGAGATTTACAACCTCAGTCACTGGTTGTCCGGACACCAGACACCACATTTAAGAAACGACTTTCAGATCAATCTTTGACGCTAACATGACCGACGAACCGGATCGTAGTGCTGAGGCTGACGACGCACAAGGCCAATCACCGGACGAGGATTACCAGGACGCCCCTCCAACTATTCAACGGGAAGAGGCCACGAGCGACGAGAATGCCCAGGATCCCCCTTCAACTATTCAACGAGAAGAGGTCACAGATGACGAGAATGCCCAGGATGCCGCTCCAACGATTCCACTTGAAGAGCATACGGGCGAGATGCGACCCGTCACGCCATCGGCAGGACACGAGAAAGAAGTAGTAGATGATACGGACGCTACATTCGAGGAAACCGCCCTGCACCGCGCCCTGCAAGACCTCGATTTTGACGACGATAGTTCGCCAAAACTCGACAAGCTAGATAGTGATTGGAAGGGCATGATCAACATTCAGTCTTCAGAGCCGCCCCACCTTACACCTTTGCATATGGCAGTTGAGCGAAATTTCCCAAAGGTTGCCAAACGGCTTATCGAATGCGGCGCTGATGCCAACATCGGCAGTAGCATGCGTCCTCTTCACACTGTTTGCAACGAAGGCTATGTCGAATTAGCGAGGCTTCTATTGAACAATAGAGCTTCAGCCTATTGCAGAGACACGGCTGGGTGGTATCCCATACATTTTGCGAGCCGAGAAGATTCAGATACAGAGATATTCAATCTTTTGCTTCAGTGGGCCCCTGGATGTCTCAATGAACAAGAGGATAATGAATCATGGACGCCACTAAATGTCGCCACTTACTTTGATAGCTATAACGCGGTTAACATCTTGATGCAGATGGGAGCGGCTATTGGCATCCGGGATGGTGTCGGTTGGACGCCGTTGATGACGGCTGTAAGAAGAAATTTTTACCACATTTTCGACAACATTCTCAATCACATCGGTAAAAAAGACGTCCAAACTCGGGAAAGGCTCGCCAATCAAGCAGACGACAGCAAAGTGACAGTTCTTATGGCCCTGTGTGATGTGGAGCCAGGAACCGCTTTCAAAGCACGTGCATCATTGGACAAGTTCCTTGACGCAACACCTGAGCTCGATTTTGGCGCAAAAGACTGCGATGGTCGGACGGCTCTTCACTATATAATACGTTCGGCCAGGATATATCCCGAAGAACTCGAAATCCGCCGAATGGCTCAGCTGGTCATCGGAAAGGTGCCAAAAGATATTCTGCTCCTACGAAACGCTGAAGGCCAGACAGCACTCGAGGACAGTCTCGATGATGAATCCAGCAACAATCTCTCAGAGACACCGCTTCGCAATTTCCTGGAAGCTATAGTCGAAAGACTAAGAGAAAACGGGGACGATAGAGAAAATCTTCTCTGCTGGCTTGCATCACGAGAAGATTGTCAGGGCGTTGCGAAAGACATCCTTTCGAATTTGGGAATTCCAAAGGGCCGAAATTCCGGCACTGAATGTAGTCTGGTTGAGCTAGCCATACACCACGAACTGCCTCGAGTACTTTTGGAGTGTAAAATTGCGAAGGAGGAGAAGGAGCATGGTAAAGGGCTGATTGCTGATCGCAGGAAAGAGCTCCAAAACGAGGTTTTGACCACATTGAAAGAACCAAGCCCCCCTCAACAAGGTAGGAAGAATGAGGCGAAGAAATCAAGCGCGACGAAACAAAGCGGCACTCAAAGTCAACACAACACAAAGAGCCAAACCGAGGCGGAAAGGCGACTTAGGATCCTTGACCAGATGGAGGATGTTCTTGACTATAGCTACGTTGAGAAGACGCGAAGAGTCAGAGATCCTCTCAAGGTCTCAAAGCTGGTGGACGAAATGCAGGAAAGCCGGACAGATTTTCAAGCAGCTATCATCTCAATCTGTCGAGACAACTCTCAATTCAGTAGATACACGAAGTTTCGAAGTGTAGCTGAGACTGTCTACGGATCATCGCCTATCAAGACAATCAGCGATACAATCAATGAGATTAAAAAGTCCGAACCAACATCTCACAACACCAAAGCGTTCAGCCATCCGCAGGCTTCTGAGACAGAGAGCAACTTCACATGGATCCATCTCCCAGCAACCAACGTAAGTAATATGATCAGGTTTGTGCTGCACCCCCTAAACTGACTAAAACTAGATGACTTGGATGATTGTAAGCAATTTCGCAATGGGTTTCGATTTACATTTTTCGGGTCTTAGATACAACATCCGACACTGATGATTGTTCCGCACAGGACACCATGAACAAGATATTGAACCCTAACCAATCTGACAACTTAGATGGAAACAAGGAAGATGATCAAATTGCTTCCTTTTTGCGCACCAGCGGGGTTCAAGTTCCCGACAAAACATCCCCTTCGCGATTTATGCAGCCTCGATATGTCAAGAAGCCAGAAAAGGAAGTCCGAGCTCACGTCTTGGCGGTAGCTACGACTGAAACGGATGCGATGGAGGGGAATGAGAAACACAAGGACAGGCAGAACAGCACTTGTGATTCTATGGCTTCGGCACTTTATGTAAGAATATGAAGTCTCCAATCTACCCTCTAAGTGTCTAATGCCGTTATCAGATGCCATTTTTAGCAGTGGGAAGCTACAAAAGACCACCTGTCGAGAGTGCCCAGAGCAGCGCGGCTGGTGTGGGACAAAGTGCGACCAAAACACGAGCCACTGCCGCGCGTATACTCACCACTGCTGCCACCAAACTCAACGCTGCCGCCACCAGGCTCAACGATGCCGCTACCAAAATGAACGCCAACGGCGATGCAATCACTACGGCAACCAAGGAATCCCCGGGCGGCGACAACGTTTCCACACCCGCCGCCAATGTGCCCGGTTCTGGGACGAGAACTATGGCTCCCCCAGTGCACTATTCTCCCACGCTGGACAAGCACTATTACCATTTCGCCGTTGGGGATGTAGCATCTCAAGAGGATAGGGATTTGCGAAACGAAAACCAAGTGGTTACCAAGTACTTGTACCGGAAAGGCCTAGACAAGCAAGTTTCATGGAAAGTCCTCCGAGTCAATCAGCTATGGGCTTGGACCATTCGCGACGGTGAGTTGTCAAGAAGCTAATTTGTGTGCTGCAGAATTTCGTTGACAATAAACAAAGAGTGGTTAATTACGTCCACTTCTTTCGCAGAATTGGAGGAGAACGTTAAAAAAGGAAACAATGCATTTGTCGAGCATATCCTTGAGAATCTGGCCGATCGGGCTGAGAAGAACCCCGACAGTGGGCCACGCACCCCTACCGAGTTGAGCAAAGTCATTGTCGAGTGGTGCATCGGAGCTTACAGGAAACAACGCAAAGATACCAGTCAGCAGCAGGGTATCGATGGGAAGTACTCTGACGATCTGGAGCGGGCAGAACGGCCAATTCGGCAGATGTTTTCTGATTCTATCAATGACATTGTTTGTTGCACTGAGTCTACTGAGAGAATTTGCCTAATAACCAGTCATATAGGGAAGACAAGAAGCAGATTTATTCCGCAACTTGACTGGCCAGAAAAGCAGCTCTAAACACCAGAACAACCGGACCATAGGATCGAAGCGGGAAGTCCCTAGAAACACACGTCTCCCCAGTTTCGAAACCGATACGATGAAAGCTGCTAGGCTTCTGTTCGAAATTAAGGACGTTCGTGACGAGCTGAACATTCTCAGAACCATTGCCGAATATCAACAGAAAGTGCAGCTAGGCTTGAATGGTATCGTGCCCGGTATCGTCTTCGCTGACAGCGTCGATTGGGATGAGGATGAGACAGCCAAGTACGTTTCAAGCGATATCGAAGAGCTCGATAGGCTTGCCAAAAAGACTGAAGAGGCTGTATGTCCAAAACGAACGACATTGAGCGTGTCAATCACTAATATGCATGCGCGGTAGTTGAATACAACAATCACAATATACGAGAGCGAGATTGGGAACCTGCAGGCAAAGGAGGCTGCAGAACAGGGCAAAAGAGTAATGGTGTTTACACTCGTCACTGTCTTCTTTGTAAGTCTTCTGTTCATCAATATATGCACTTTGGCTGTCTTTCGATTTCATCACTAAGCTAGGTTGCCAGTTGCCTCTTTCGTTCCTCAGCTCTCTATTTGCCTTGGATGTGAATTCGTTTCTTGAAGCACCATGGTGGTCTCTGGTAGTAATCTGTAAGTGGCCCTGCATGTCTGTCAGCTATGGGATTCTCACACCATCGCCTAGTCGTTGTGCCTCTTCCCTTTCTTCATGCCGCCAATGGCCATGTGAAAGGTCGAGATCCTTTCTCACTTTACTTATTGAACAAGGAGAACCGAGATGGGATTGAGGATACGAACAAAACTTTCCGCAAGAGGCTGGCTCGAGGACGCGGTAACAAGAACGCGGCGGACGCATCAGCTAATGTTTAGGTGGACTGCATTTTTCATCTCCGTCTTTCATCTCTGTCTCTCATCTTTGTCTTTCATCTTTGTCTTTCATCTTTGTCTTTCATCTTTGTCTTTCATCTCTGCTTGTCAACTCGGTCTATTGCCTATGACTTCTGGATTCCCTGTGGCGAAGGAAGGCAATAATGGAATGATCCACATAACGTTTGAGACAATGAAGTCTGGAGTGTCCTGGCCGCGAGGTGTCTGAATACCGCCACGCTCATCCCCCGACCTGGATGCAGCAGAATCCAGTTAATGAGATGGCAGTGATATTCCAGGCCTTCAACACCATATCATGACTCTCACTTCTGCATCTACAACTTCAATATACCATAAATTTTCACACTCATTTACTGATCCATTATTTGGCTATCCAATACATCATTCGTTTAACCCATACCAATATGAGGTCTTCTGTGATACAGGCAGAGAGCCTGTACCTTATGTTATTTAAAGGTCTGCATGACAGGCCAGAGAACCCATCTTATGATGTGCTTTGAGATCTAAAGGTCAATTTGCGTGATTCCCGTCATTCTAATCATCCTTCTCATGCCCTTGTCGTCTCCGTGGCAGTCTCCAAGTCATATCATTCTTGGAGGCGCTTAAGCCTGCAACTTGAACAAGCTTCGGAAAGAGATCTTTTGTTGATAAACAAGGTTTGTAGGTATCTTTGATGCTTTTGGTGCTCTAGAAGAATCAGAAAGCTGCATTGGGCTGATTTCTAAACATGTTTCACCGCAGGTATCGACAAGAGGCAACTTCTACCATTTTGTGGTTGTTGTGCCTGAGACCTCGCCGGCTCACAAGCAATCTTGAAAGCCTCGCTACCATGGAAAGTTGAGGGAGGTAGATTGTGATCGGCTGAAAAAGCAAAGCAAAAGCAAACAGGAAACCGACAGCGGAGCGCCCTACGATATCAGTATCACCGCCAAGATGGCCAATCAGCCATTGCACCTGGGAATATTAGTGAATGCCAGATCGTTGAAGCTGCATGTACGAGTTATCATGTATGAAAGGGAACGTGATGTTCCTGGAGCCAAAGACATGCTCGGTTTTGTATTGTGTTCACAGAATGACAAACAGCTGGATTAGGCTCCTGGATCTGCCCAATTACATGTGATTGAGATTTAGAAACCTCTGCTGTTTTCCCTTCCTTTTCAACAAAGGCTGTCCCACGGACCGATGCAGTCCCCGTATTGAAGTTACACCATGCGGGTCCATTAAGAAATTTTGGGTAGGAGGTTGACCCATGGGGTCACTTCATACACATCTGCCGGTGTGGATCTTAGGCTTGTGAAGAGTTGAACCATAATCAGCAGACGGGCAACTGAGTAAACCATATAACTGGTAATTGAGAGAAGCTTTGATGTCTTTGATATCCCATTCTCCCACTGCGAAAGTTCTCTGTCCAACGTTGTTTCGGCGACATCAATCACAGACCATAGTCTATCAGTATAGGGCGGCTCCTTTTGGTTCGGAGTGCTGTTGCAATGCGAGTGACTGACCTCAGCTTCGATCTTATACCACAAGTTTCGAGCTTGACCCAATAATCTCCAATTTTGCTTGAAGTCTGTACATCCTGAGAGCCAAGCCTCTAGATCAGCTCTATCAAGCTCCCCGTGCTGGCGAGCCTTCTCGTAAGACTTCCGAATATTGATGAAGGAATAAAGAAACGCAGCGAAGAAATGACCTTTAAGGTGAGCTGAAACTCTTTCCTGATTCGGCGGAAATCGCTTGTTCCATTCCTCTGCCACCGCTGGGATTGAGCGTGACTGAAAGTTGTGGCGAGTCAAACCCTCAACCTGAGGATCCAAGAGAGCATCCCACCATGCTGCCGACCTCAAAGGTAGGCCATTGAACGCCTCAACGAGAATATTCTGGCGTTGTGGGTTGAAACGCTTGGCCAACAGATGGCTCAAAAAAGTGCTAATACCCAGTGTGATTGTAGGCAGTATGACAGCAACGACACACGCGCTTCTCCAAAGATTGAGCTCGGTTTGAGATGGGAACTCGAATTTCCAAGCAAAGCAATGAATCCCACCAAACAATAGAGATGAGACGGCTAAGAAAGACGTAATGGGGGACGTGCTAGCTCTCATCCAAGTAACATCGTTGGGAACCCGGTCTCCACTGTGTAAAGCTTTACACACCGTTGACGTGGCTGCTTTGCCGGGCGACTTGAACCATAGCGTAAGCTGTACCATCTGAGGTGTAGATATCCAATCGCCTGTGGATGAACGACGAGTGTATGTAGGCTCGGAGATATCCTTGGGCTTCCACCAGCTAGCCGCGTAAGTCAAAGTCGCCATGAGAGCAAACGCAGCAGTGGCAATCTCGAGCTGAGTAACAGCCAAACCTGTAACTTCGCGAACGATCACATTGAGAACAAGCCATACAATCTGAAGGATGGCAAGACTCTTAAGTAACCAGTCCGCTTTGCTCTTGTCTTGGATATCCTGTTCACTCAGTTCCAATTGTTTGAGGGGATGTTCTTCATCCCATTGATATTGTGGAGTGAGTTTTGTTGCAGTGAGGACTTCATAGCCCACAATATCCGAGGTGTACTTTGATGGAATCATGATGCCACCCATCTGGGCATAGAATGAGTGAGAAATTGTCCATTTCTGAGGTGCATCCTCAACGAAGGTCTCATTAGAAATATTGTCATTGGGCCGGCTCAAATCTTGCATCTCAATCGATCCAGGAGATTGCGCGTTGGCAACGCCACTTGTCGAAGAACTGGGGTCGCCATGCTGAGCTTGGGAGCCTTGTTGAATAAGTCCAGAGCGACCCGAATCTCCCCTTTCAACAACTGATGGCTCTGGAACCTTGAGGCCAAGGAGTCTGTAGAGTATTTTGTGGCAGGGTGGGTATTCAACCTCCCAATACCGCATGCGATCAACCAATATCTGAGATGTACCTTCACCAGATCTCAGGTTTCCAAGGCTGGCAGACCATGTTGTGTTGTCTGTGATATTGGGTAAGGTCTGTCCGAATTGTCGGAGCTCATCAAGGGCCTGTCGGAGATCGCAGATGGCCTTGGAAAGAATGAACTCGGGGAACATGATGTTAATCGACATCCATTTGAACCGACGAATAAACTTCTGCAGCGCAGTATCGTTGGGGCCCGGCAGGTTAAGATGTGTAACTGTCCAAGTGCAGGCGAATATGGTGATACCGCAACTCCAGACAATGTTGAGTGTGCCTCGACTGTTAGGGCCCTCCCTCCAGCCGGCCATCTCCTCATCCGGCGTATTGCTACCTTCGCTAGCCGCCTGAATACGGGCGATGAAGAAGAGGTACACCCCGAGGAGGATTGGATAAAATTTAATGTTAACAGCCATGCTAGCATCGTGTGGATTCAATTTAGTGCCCGTCAGTTGAAGACGATAATTGATGCAGAAGTCAGTGGAAGATGTTGCGAACAGTGGATTCGCAGAAAAGCCCTGGCTTGGATGTTGGATGGGGTTTACTAAAATACGTAAAACCTCGACCCCAAGCGCCAGAGAAACACGTAATAACAAGTGAGACATACAGCTGGTCCAGAGCACCCAAGCCAGTAATGAATTTCGACTACGATATTCAAAGCCTCGCTGAACCCGCGTGGCTGGTCGGGTGCCCCTTGCTAAACATTCGGGTTGTACAAGCCACCTTGGCACATATGGTGCCGTGTTCACTAACCCAATCAACGACTCCGTCAGAACACCATGAACCTCAGCTGCCTCTAGGGATCACTGTTTCAGGAAGCCTCATTGGCGACAATCGTGATCCTGGACACCTTCTCTCGATCCAGCTCTGTTCAGCTCCTGCGAGCCTGATCCCTTTAGTGGATGTGTCCAATCGCATAGGCACCAAGGGCGGAAGAGAGCCGTTTCTGGAGCAAGCGAGTACATATGGTCAACGAGGCTGCCAGCAGGCTGCCAGCACTTGTCTCATGGGATGAACCAGGCAACTCGTCAGGCTCCGTAACGGCCACTGCACTGGGCCTGTCCAAAAATGCACTTGCTAACGGCTTTGCGGATGTCATTGACGTAAGATATGCTTCAATCACAGCCAAGTTGAAGATTGTCATTGATGCAGCTCTTTTTTTCATCACAACAAGGTAGACACTTGTATCGCTATTTCAGAACAGACCGGACTTTGCCCCAGCGACGGGGCATTCTCGCTTTCGAACCGGCCCCACTCCGATGCGCCGGGCCGGCCTACGGGGAGAACACAGCGACGGCGATGGCTCCCCCCAAATGGACCGCATCCATGTTCGGACATGGGTGGCAACGTCATGCGGACCGGCGCACGAGTCCTGCATCTCCGACTTCCCCTCCGGCGCGCCCAGCGCCTGCGCCATTTTCTCTCGAAAGCTTCTCTCGAAAGCCGAGATTTTCTCGCTGATAACAACCATAACTAGCCGCGATTCCCAAAGGCCCGATTCCCACCACCGCCAAGGCTCGGCCCTATCCCCCTCAACCAATTTCAAGCCTCACTGTGGGCTCCCAATTTTCGCGATTGGCGAGCCGACAAATACCGCACCAGGGCCCCCTAAAACGCCCAGACCTCTCTCGCCGTATCACCATATCGCGCGTCGTATCGCCGCACGCTATCGGCGGCCGGAGCACCTCCTGACTCCCTCGGACGCCGCCCGAACATCGCAACCCTCCGGCGATTCGACCTCCGTCCGCTCTGAAATCCGAGAGCGTGACTCGGGAGGGTGGGTAGCGCGTCGGGAACGGTGGGTTTAGAATGAAGGCGGTGGATACATCGTGGGCCGTGACAGCTTGGCGCTCGGGAATAATCAGAAAATTGTGTGTTGTAGCATTATCCAGCGAGGTATCATTTCTCTATCAACAAAGGTAAAAACACAAAAGCTATGATGTCTATGCTCCGAAATCGCAGGACCGCGCCAGCCCGACGCCCCTGAATGCGCCAATGCCAAGTCTCAACCACGTGTAAATCTTTTTTCGTATCACTCTCTCATTTGTTTGGGTGTTTCGTCTAGAAGCTCTTGACCTTCTGCATGCTGCCCTCCTCGACCAGGGCGCGGTGGAGGTCGAACGAGTTGAAGAGCAGGTGGGGCTCGTGGCCCATGCCCTTGCGCAGGCACTCGAACTCGGCCTTGTCGAAGTAGCTCTGCAGGATGGGCTGGTAGACGGGGTGGGCGCACTTCTTGATGATGAGGCGGGCGCGCTCGCGGGGGCTGAGGCCGCGGACGTCGGCGAGGCCCTGCTCGGTGACGATGACGTCGAGGTCGTGCTCGGTCTGGTCGATGTGGGTGCACATGGGCACGATGCAGGAGACGCCGTGGGGGTCGGTCTTGGAGGGGCGGGGGGGGGGGGGGTGCATGATGCTGTACTTTGCGTTGCGGAGGAAGTCGGCGCTGCCGCCGAGGCCNAGGGGGTGTGCATGATGCTGTACTTTGCGTTGCGGAGGAAGTCGGCGCTGCCGCCGAGGCCGTTGAGCATGCGGGAGCCCATGACGCAGGTGCTGTTTGCGTGGGCGTAGATGTCGACCTCGACGGGGGTATTCATGCCGATGACGCCGAGGCGGCGGATGATCTCGGGGGAGTTGGAGACCTGCTGGGAGCGCAGGAGGAGCTTGTCGTGGTAGGACTCCCAGTTGTCGTAGAAGCGCTTGAAGCCGTCGGGGGAGAAGCGGACGGAGGTGGCGGTGGCGAAGTCGAGGTGGCCCGAGTCGAAGAGGTCGAGGAAGGTGTCCTGGATGACCTCGGTCCAGACCTTGAGGTTCCAGAAGTTGGAGTCCTTGAGGCCACCGATGACGGCGTTGGCGATGTTGCCGATGCCGGACTGCAGGGGGAGCAGGTTCTTGGGCAGGCGGCCGTGCTTGACCTCGTGCTCGAAGAACTCGATGAGGTGGCGGGCGATGGCCTGGGAGCTGGCGTCCTCGGGGGTGTTGGGGGAGGTCTGGTCCTGGTAGTCGGACTCAATGATGCCGACGACCTTCTCGGGGTCGATGGGGATGGAGGTGGTGCCGATGCGGTCCTCGACGCCCATGATGAGGTAGGGCTTGCGGCGCGGGGGCAGGTCGGTCATGGTGATGTCGTGGAGGCCCTCGAAGCTGGGGAGGGAGGTGTTGACCTCGATGATGATCTTGTCGGCGAGCTGGACGAGCTCGGGGGTGGCGCCGACGGAGGCGCCGGGGACGATGCTGCCGTCCTCCTTGATGTCGGTGGCCTCGACGATGGCGACGTCGATGCCCTTGTTGGGGCGGTCCTTTGTGTAGAAGCCGTAGACGAGGTCGACGGGGAACTGGGACAGGTGCTTGTCGAAGAAGTTGATGCGGCCCTCGTTGATGCCCTTGGAGATGGCCTTGCCGACCTGGTGGGGGCTGCGGCGGTCAATCATGTCGAGGCCGGCCCAGCGGTTCTCGGTCTCGGCGCCGGAGGAGGCGCCGACGAAGAGGCTGTACTTCATCTTGCCCTGCAGGTTGTTCTGCTCGACGTGGTCGGCAAGGAAGGTGGGCATCTTCTTGGGGTAGCCGACGCCGGTGAAGCCGGACCAGCCGATGTAGGCGCCGTTGGGGAAGTGCTGGAGCAGGTCCTGGGGACGGGTGAGCTTGTTCAGCATGGTCGGGCGGCGGACGCGGGCCTTGAGGGCGGCCGAAGCAACTGGCGACGCCATCTTGAACGGTTTGAAGCCTGGCGAAGATGAGGGTGATGAGGAGTAGAGAGGAGAGGTTCTCAGAGGGTCAAAGCCCGGGGAAAGGAGGGGAGATGATGGGGGAGAGTACAACAAACAGGCACACCGGTCAAGGGAAAGAAGACACGATGGGGTGACTTTTGAGGAGAGAAAGTGGGCTCCAGGTAGATTTTATATCCGGGCTATTTTTCGCGTCTTGGGCCACAGTCGGAGCTCCAGTCCAGACCTTGAGGACGAGCCAAAGAGAAAAAAGGATGGACTGTGGAAGATCAGGTCACTCCTTGAGCCCCTCGGTGGGGAATGACGCAGCTGCGGCCAGGGAAGCTATGGCTTTTGATAGCGATAGCTCCCCGATTGGGCAAGGCGCGGCTTAGCTAAGGCGGCCAACAGGGTGCTGGCAGCGTGGGATGCGTGGGCTGAGTGGCCAGGCGGCTCGGTAACGGTCGGTAACACCCCTGCCCAGACAGCCGCATGCCCGCTAGGCCGTGTGTCGACTCGATTTAGGTCGTTGGTGTAAGGCACAGCGGGAGAGGTGCGCCACAGGGCAGCATGGTAACCGCTGGAAACCTTCCTTCGGTGAGAGCCGATACACGAGCACCCGACCTCAATTGGCCAATCAGCAGCCTGTAATTCCGCTTTATTCCAAGCAATTCTGGGCTGAGGCCGTCAGGAGATTTTCCACTCTTTGGAATTGGCCTTTGCATTATTTACTTAGTATTGACAGTCTGCTCATCTCTGCATCTCCAAATCATAGGGGGCCTCTTATCTTTGAAGCCCATCTCCACCGCTTGCTAGGCATGGTCACCATGACTTAACCGGGGCCCATCGAAACGACGCATCAAAGTAAAATGGAGCCCGTCCCAAACTTCCGTAGATGCGAGCTCTTCCTTCGGCACAGCTCGGCCGGACGAATCTCGGCTTTAGCCAAGGGCACGTTCCTTACAGGATCCATCCTTCCCGCTCGAGCATCCAGTCACGTTGCGAGGGCGCCTTTTGGGCCCCCACACTTGCACTTGCACTTGAAAAGAAACACGGTCTTGCCATTTTGGTCTTGTGAATAGCTTCATTTTATTTTCTCTCTTTTCATGCTGCCCTGGCCAGACACTTTACTCGGGAATCTTGGCCTCCTCCGCCGGCACACCAGCCTTCCACCGGTACGACGCAGCAACGTGCTCGTCCAACGGTCCTGACTGTCCCTTTTTGCGGTAAAAGTTCTCTCTGTACGTGCCACCCGGAACGGCATAGTCATCCCAGAACAGCCCACGACGGCGCAGCTCCGGAAGAAGCAGGTCGATGATGTCCTTGAACGACTGGGGGAAGAGCGCGTACGCCTGCCATATCTGTCAGCATTCATCTCATTCAACACACCAAGTCCACTCACAAAGTTGAAGCCGTCCACGTCGGCCTCCTCAATCCACGTCTCCAACCCGTCCGCAACCTGCGCCGCCGTACCGACAAAGATCGGCCCGTTGCCGCCAATGCTGACGTGCTCCGCAATGGTATGCTTCGTCCACTTCGCCGTACCCGGCGAGAACCGCGCGTAGCCCTCAACCGTCGACCGCACCGCATTGCTCTCCACCTCGCGCAGCTCCTCCTCGTCGCCGTACTTGCTCAGGTCCATCCCCGTCCACCCGCCAAACAGCGCCAGCGCGCCCTCGTGCGACGCGTACTTGCGGTACTCCGCCAGCTTCGCC